ATAATTTTTGAAAAACAAAAAACGAAAGCCCCAAAAGACTATCCTGCTACATAAACAGGAACAAAAGTATCTAATATTGTATTGAAGTCATTGTAAAATGGTAAAATAATTACAAATTCATATCTTGATGTGCTAGTTGCAGTACCGCAATCATCCTATGATTCAACAGCATCTACCGGTAAATACTCCGCAGGTTATGTAGTCCACCAGCAGTCACTGGCATCAGCTTTACTATAAAATTTCACTGGGGATCGAGGCATTATTCGCGAAATTTCATTTAAGTGTACTTGCAAGCGCCAGTAAAACTTGGAAAAATAAATTCCCACACGTATATTGACTCACATAGGGTAGAAGGTTTTTTTCTGGGCCATTATATTAGTGACATGAACAAAAATACTGGTCATGTTATGTATGTAATGAAAAATAAAATGACCATTATACTGCCCATCAAAAAAAATGTCATCAACTCCACATCATTTAAAAAGCAATTGTAATTATTCTGACCAGTATAAAAAACATGGGTCATTAAAACCACCATTTTAAAAACACTGGTAAATATTTTGGCCACTTAAAAAATTCTGGTCAATATTCTGGCCATTAAGATAATAGTGGCCATTATAATGGCCAGAAGTGACTTTTTAAAGGGGTTTGAGGGGTGTAAAAAACAGAGTTAAAGTGAAATGAAAAATTATTATAACCTCCTCACTAACCTAAAAGCACAAATAAATATTCAAAAGTTTTGTAAATTAAAACTTTCGAAACGCGACGGAATTTCGAAAGTAATCCGGACGCTGTTTTTATGTTTTTGCCCCCCCCCCCCCCGTGCTAAGCGCACAATAGGAGTTTTTGTGGTACTGCGTTTGTTGACGTTCGTTCCGCACCGCTATCAGTTTTGTTGGCACTTTTGTTTGCGTGTGTATGATTTTCAGTGTCTTCACGTATTAATTCTTCTGTAATTTTTTTTGGTTTGCCCGATTTCGCCCAAACTTGGCAGGCAGGTCACTCTTTCACTTTAGTTAGTAGGTAAAATGTGAAAACAAATTCTGGGCCACCATTGCCATAGCAACAACCAAAAAACTGATTTTTGAATAGCCCCGAGCCAAATGTTTCTCCTCCTACAAATTTAGGATTAAATGCCTTAGACATAGCTCATTCTACTCAGCTTGAGTGAGGAAACAAAGTTACTATTTGAATTTTTGATATTTTTTTTCACTACCGAGAAATTTTACCCCAACCAGGGACGGCTTTTTAACTTTTTTGTGTTTTTTTGGGCTGAACCGATTTGGATCAAACTCGGCAGGCAAGTCACACCTTCACTTTAGTTATCATATGTGGAAAAATCTGAAAATAATCCTGGTTCACCGTTGCCATGGCAACAACCAAAAGATTTTTATAATGCGACGATTTTATGCAGGATTCAAGTGACGCATACACCACTCGTGTTTAGGAATTTGGTGTGGGGGGGGGTAAACCTTTTGGTGGCACTTTATATATACCATTCTCGGATACACACGCGTGAAGTAGCGCTTGTTTTTATTGGTTATGCAAAACGAGCATGTACGTTTCTGAAATTAACATGTAATCAATAAAAACAAGTACTACTTTACATGAGTACTTCCTTTTTACACTTTCGGGGACCAAGATTTAGTTCCAGCATGCATTGCCGTCGTCGCGCTCATCGCCTGTTCCCTTCTTGTCCCGGTCACGTGATCGCAGTAAGAAATTAAAGTTGATTTTCGAAGATGGCGGCTAATTGGGATTTTAATTTTGCTGCTGCTCTCAAAGGCGCCGGCGGTGAGGGGCGCGATGCCATCCTAGAACATGAGAAAGACAGTGGCGTGAATAGACCATCATTGCATATAGTTGGTGAGAACATATTAATAATAATTTTATTAACACTTACACATTCCCCGAAAGGATTGGTAATGTGATCTACGAGACAAACGATATCATGCATGTAAATTATTACGATCGGTCAGCAAAACAATCTGGATCATTTTTTTTCTATAGAAGTTTTTCTGTAATGTTCGCTATATATGTAGTTCGTTATTGAAGTGCACGAGTCATTACACTCTGAAGATATCGACGTCATATGTTTAGCTAATTTCAATTTTAGGGATGTATGTCATGTCAACTGTGGTCATGGTACTGGTAGTGTTTGTACAGAAAAAGATGTTCTATTTGTTGCAGGTGATGATAGGCCTCTAAAATAACATGATGATGTGCACAACGGTGGTGGGGGTTGGTTCTGGTGAAACTTGGTGGGGACAGGGGTTGAAGAATATGGGATTTTTCCACTGGTCCAGGACTAGTGATAAGAAAATTGTCACTATAGTCCGTGTAATAGTTTCACTGGTCCTGAATTGATGTTTTAACATTATTTTTTATTTTCTAAAAGCGTATTTCCTTTTTAATACATGTACATGAGTAAGTTACTTTTCTGATACAATCTCAGGTAATGGAGCATGTTCATCAGTTTTAGGTTGAGGTAACTTATGTCCTGATATATGCCTTGAAGTTGACGAAGATAACAACCATTCAACAATTGCTGGGTCAGGATTATAATCAGCTAAATCTGGTTCTTCAGACATAACAAATAATTGATTCCGAAAATTGGCATAATTTAGTCTAGTTCTGAGTTCAGTTTTTATAACATTCACTTTAGAAAAACCTCTCTCACAAGCACTAGTACTAGGTGATACTGTTAACATATATTCCAATAATTTCTTAACTGGTACACTAATAACATCATTTGCACTCTGTAGGATTATTGAGTATACATCTAAAAGTGTCTGTGACCTGTGTGTTTTGCAATAAAACTTCAAGTTTAATCGATCATCATTTATTGTCTCTCTTTCTGATTCACTGAAATATGACTTGACTACTTTTTTTATTCATGAGTTCATGAATATCTTCATTGCCATATGTAGCCAATTCTTGTTTACCCATAGGCCACTGATGAAAGTTCAGGCACAACAACTGTTTAAATGGTGGTTCATTAAGTTCACTAAATCTGTTGTTTATATATTTAGTGGTTTTGTCAATCAGTTTTTAAATAACTGGTGCATTATATTCAGCTGGTAATAAAATACCTTTAATTGCAATATCCCCAAAAGTTTTTGGTTCATAGCAGTCAATAAAATCTTTCATATTCGTACCAGAAACAGTTTTCAGAGCATTTAACTTCATAATAGTTTGCTCAATTTTATCAGGAAGTTCAATAACAAAACTGAACCCAAAATCAAACTGTTACTCATGGCTGCTGTACACAAATATCAGAACTGTTTTTAGATTAAATTGTTATATACAGACACCACTATTATTTGTTATCGATAAAATCAATGGTCCGACGGACTATTAGTGCTTTTAATCCGGAGGTCTGACTAAGAAATTGACGGGTCCCTGACCTCGGACCACCGTATTCTTCACATCCCTGGGGCACTTTACTATTTTACTGTTAGTATTCCAGGAATTGAGTTACAGTACATTTTTGTAGTGATTTCACTAGTGAATTGATCATTTTTATGTGTATTAAAAGGAGTTCTGTACAAGTCAATGTTGCATGTGTGGAGAATAGCTGTGCACTGTGTTCAAGATCACATACGGGTGATGCTATTAAGAGTGTATGGTTGAGAATTAATTCCATTTCCTGGTTGTCTGTTCGTAACTATAGGTGAACGACACTTTGTATTGCAGATTGGATTCAGAATGGCCGTTTGGTGGCCCCTTTGAATGATGTTCCGATGCCTTATCTCGGACATTGCTGGGCCAATCATGTTCAAACTTGTTTAAAGTTTTCACACTTTGTACATTCTTAGATGTGTATTGACAAATTTTATTTAAACTTAGTACATTGGAACTTTGATACCTATGTCACTTTGTTTAGCAGATGGAGCTGTACAATTTACTACGTTCTGGCTACCAGTCCAACAGAATGTCGAAGATGAGATGTAAAATATTTATCGCATTTAGATGGCAAGAGAATTAATGGCCTCTGGCGTACTCTCATCTATTCGAGACACTGCCTTCAAAATTTATTTTTTTCTTTAGTGCCTATTGGTAACCAAGTTCAAATTGTCGGTGGCCAACTGGAAAATTTCAAACAAAATTGCTGGTCACAAGATTTCTTTTTTTTTTTACAAATACATAATGCACAAAAACACCAATTATAAAATAATTAAAAAAAAAAAATATTTCAGATGCGATGTCCCTTGTATCTCTATTGGCCGACACGGATTCACTTACAGAAAGACACCAACTTTCAGTGACATCATTCTGCTGCAAACAATGTGATTTGTCACCCAAACTTGCAAAATATGCAGGGATTGTTGTATGTCATTTCTTGCCAGCAATTAAGTGTGGCGGATAATAAAATGCACACATACTCAAAGTGTTGAATTGTGGGTAACGAAGTTTTGACAAGCAGTATAATCTGTTTTAATTTTCTGCTAGTCAGATTTTTTTGTTGCAATTGGTCAGATTTAATTGCCATGGCAACCAATATGGTTCAACCTTTACATCATAAATCTTAGGTAACCTGGTTTCTCTCTGAACCTTTTTTTTATGTTAGTAAATGTTATAGTTTAGAACAGAAAACAACAAAAAGCAAACATTTCCCATCATGAGGTACTTTTTACTAATTCATCTTGTGAAATTCAATAAGTTTAAAAAAAAAAATGTCAATTTACTAATTACAGAGAGCACAGTTAATATAAATCACATGTATGCATTATGCTGTCCATTTCATTTTCAAGATGGCTGTATCATATGGTAGCCATTTTGTTTTCAATACATGCAGTCGCACATATAGGCATACATATAATGGCTAATTCTAGTCTTCTTGTAGTAGAAGATCAAGTTTTGTGGATCAAAATTTCAGGTTTTTGTGGATGGATTTTATTTCGAATGTGTTACAAATTTTACATGGCTGCCAATTATTTTGAATGATTGGATTCACATCTTGTTCATGTGGATCATGGGACATTCATGTACTCTTATACTCAAACTTGCTTTGAAAACTTATAGAAACTGTTTGTGTGTGTCGTGTCATGACTTGTTTTCACTGATCTTGTTAGTCCCCGTTCGGACGCAGTCAGAAAACGGGGACTTATGTTTTGACCTCCGTGTGTCCGTGCGTGCGTCTGTGCGTGCGTCCGGACCTGTATCTTAGAAATGCCTGGACCAATCACAATCAAACTTCACACATACATCATACATGATATTATACATATGCACGTCAATTTGTTTCACGATCTGATTCAAGATGGCCGAATGGCGGCCATTTTTGTTCACAAAATCATCAAAATCAAGCATTTCTCAGCTGTTTACAGATGGATTTTGTTCAAATTTGGTATATACATTAGACATTATAAGACCTTGATGCACATCATTTTGTTTCACGGTCTGATTCAAGATGGCCGAATGA